TCATATGATTGTGGGAAAATTGTACTACCAGTCCTTCATCACCTTACACGAAATAGGGTGAATAGATCTCATTACACTCATTTACTGGTAGTCTCGAAACCCTACTTTCATACGAATGCAGTTTTTCTTGCAAAATCAAGCCTCTCGTGGCCAGCAGGACCGTCAATGAAGTGAGAAACCGGTCGAAACTAATCTGCCTCGGACAGGCTGGAGACAAAACCACGAGCAAATGAAGCAGAAAAGCCAGCCGCTCTACACTCCCCAAAATAGACTATGCCGAATTTCTATACCGAAAACATTTCAACCAACCCTCCACAAGTCGAGTTTCGTGTGAGCTCGGCTGGCTGTCGGTCACTTTGTCAAAGTCTGACGACAACACCCACAATCCAAGACGTCCTGCTCCTTCGCCCCCATCACTGCCCTCGAAACCGACGCTTGGACGGACGCTTGGATGCACAAAACCGAGCAATAAACCATCCTGCTCCACTCTCACGAGCAGTCAAGTCATAACGCGAACAATCATAGTCCACCACTTGGACTTCATGTGCAGTCGCCAGGTGGCCGGATCAGCTTCTGTCGTCCGAGGCCCGTGTGGCCGACTCGGCCTCGTCTCCAACCGCCCTCTGTCTCCATGACGCAGGCCGGACACGAAGACATGTTGCCAGGTGCCTCTTAACCTGTGCCATTTGTGCCACTGTTCAGCTGTGCCGGTCTCGATTCGCACCTGACTACACCAGCACACACACACACACACACACAAACACAATGGGCTGGTGTTGCAGTCGGAGCGGCAGATGAACAGTTGGTGACAAATTCGTCCGGTTGTCACGCCTTGGTTACACACACGTACAGATTGAACTGACGTCGAGCCTCTCGTTCTGGGCCCGGTCTGACGACCTCGTACGAAGACGTCAGCCTCGTTGGCTTCTTTGCTCAAAACTGTACTACCGTCGGACTCATACGGTTCGTCCGAGCAGAACCGGTCTTTTGTGCATTAATTGACGCCCGATCTGAAGTCGCCAACTTCGCCCTCGACGACCTCGACGACCTCAACGACCCCGACGACCTCGACGACCTTGTCGACCCCGACGACCTTGTCGAGCTGTATGTAAAGCAGCCAGCAGAGGCGCCAAATCTGATCAAGTCGGTAAGGCCAGGTCCCGTGGGCCCTCATTCCCAACCCTTTAACCGGACTCATTCCCGCCTCACTCGCCAGATCGTGTTTGTTGTGCGCATGGGCTTTTCTGTCCATCTCAGTCGGCCAGGGCTGGCTACTAGCTCGCCTCCCTCGACGACCGGTTGTTGTAGAAGTCTTCTGCAAAGTGCTTGCTGACGACACCGCAGCCTCGACAGTCCTCGGGAGGACAGTTGCTTTGACGACGACGGCTTGACGAAGGAGTTGGTGGGAGTCGGCGAGTCCGTTGCCGGCGTGTCGAGGCAAGAGGCGGCTTGAAGAAACTTCTCGCAAGCGTCAGCAGTCCGTCTCTTTTTCCGATCTGCCTCGGGAAGAAGCGATCGACGAGGCGGTTGGAAGCACGACGCCAACGCCAAAAGTGTAAGTCTGAATCTAAAAGGGGCCGAGCGTCCTCTGGCCGATTCGAGCGAGAGAATGGGGTTCGCGAATTGGCTGTTGTCACGGTTAAATTGTGAGAAAAAGTTCACGTCTCACCATCCGACGTCTCCAACATGTCGTCTGTCTCGCCTCTACATAAATTGTCACAGCCAGGAGGAATCATTTTCGCAAAGCTTGAAGTGAGGTCGGCTGTAATCGAGCTTACTTTTCACTCCCAATTTTGTTGTTGAAGTAGGCTTCAAAAATATCACTCAATCTTCGGTAAGGTTTCCAGTCTTTCTAGGTCGCCGAGATTATACACTGCACCACCACAACCTGGGCTAGAGTCCCGCTGGAGGTGTTAATGAAACCAAGGCGAGACGAAATCGAAACTGTTGTCCAGCCCGGCGAGGATGAGAAGAATACGCCGTAAGAGAAGAGGACAAGTGTGCAATTCGTCTAATTGTGATAAAATCCTATAAGATAGATCCACCCAATTTCAGGTTCCATAGGGACTGGGAGCGAAAGATTCCCAAAATCTTACCTGTAGACCTTATGTTTCCATTCAATTTCACATAGCCTTGTTTTGCAAAGAGACATTTTCATCTCAGCTAAAGTGGATTGAAGTGTCGACCTCGCCTGTACTGGTATCTCATCAGCACCCCAAGCGGATCTCGAACTGTAACAGCGCAGCGTATTATTTCGACACACCAACCACTACGCCAGATTTCCGTGAGTGTCTTTGAATCACAACATATAATTGAATTTCAACCATATTACATTCTGCGATGGAAATATCGATGCAGCAACGTTGTATTTGTTATAGCAATCGACTGCACTACTTATTTTTTCATTTATAAGTAGACTAGCAGTAAATCATGTATATGTAAATATTGAGCTTTGGCGATCTAGACTGACTGGAACTTTGATGTATCCTAATGTTTGTTTGGCTAATCCAACATCACATAAGCTGCTCGCTCGCCTGGTAGAGCATTCATATGTTGCAGGACCTGGTGACCTATCCGGAGGAGGTTATCTGCAAATTCCCAGGGGTCCACGAATGGTCTACCGAACGGGCATGGTTAATACAAGTCACTAAATAAAAAGGCACCAAACTCAAGTTTGAATGTGTGAAATATTTGTCAATTAACAAGAATTGTTGAAGGTATGAAGTCCAAGATGGTGTGGCCTTTTTCTGTGGTCACAGTCTCCTTTCGTTGTGTAGAGGTTGATGGACCTTGTTTTCGCAACATGGTCATG